CTTCCGGTCCGCCGTCTTCCGCGGCGCCATCCTGACGCACGCGTCCTTCCGCGAGGCGGACGTCGACGCGGCCGACTTCCGAGGCGCGCGAGAGCACGCGTGTTTGGCGAGCCCTACACTTGCGCCCAGATCCGGGCCCAGCCCCCCGCCGCCCGCGACCTAGCGGCGCTCGCTCAGCGTGCGCCCCTTGGCCTTGCGCAGGCGCAATCGACGCGCACCGGGCGCACTGGGCGGGGGCGGTCGGCAAACCGCACGGGATACACTTGGGCATGTTTCTCGACCTCGGGATTTGAGGGCCAGGCGCGGTGTGGGGAACGGCGAGCGGGGATAGGTACAAGAGAAAGACCGCGCGAGGACGATCCCGACGACAGCCCAAAGGGTACCGGTATAAGAGAGAAAGCGGATACAAAACAAGATGTAGAAGATTCCTAGGCAGGTGAGGGAGCGGAAAATCGTGGGCGGGCTTCAATAGAAACCGAAGCGAAGATATGCACAAGGCGTACGTACGGGCGAGGGGTGAGACTGAGAGGAAGACCGTGCAACAGTTTGAGCATGATTATCTCCGGCAGTGCTCCGTTTCTTTTTTCACGCCTTCACGCGGTGCAGGCGCCCCCGACTGTACTGAGCGCACCCCCCACCGTCCCCTGCCAGGCCCAAGCATGCCGCAGGCTCCGGTGAGGCCGCCTGGGGAGCGCAGGAGGTCCCTTCGCCTCCGCGACCAAGTGCACGATACGCCCGGCGTACACAAGTCCTAAGAACAAGCCCCGGCGGGCGCGGTGGAGCTCCTACACCGACTCCGACGGTGACCAACGCTCCTCAGAGGAGTATTAGGGAGCGGGTCCGCTCCAGTCCAGGTCTGCCCTGTGTCTAGGGAGCTGTGGGCGGGGGCTAGGGGCCATTGCAGGCGCGGGGCGGGGATAGTTACTTCTCGAAGTAAGTAGTTACTTCAGGAAGTAACTCCTTCAGATAGACACCAGTGCGGGGTCAGGAGGGCGTGGGGGTTGCGGACTGGCTCTCAAAGTATAACTAGAGCCGCACCGCACTGTGCTGTAAACGCTGCTGGTTGGCGTCGGTTGCGCAGCACCCCGTCCCCATCGCTATCAAAGAGATATATTTGCCACTTTCCGCACAAACATGGCACCGAACCAGCTGAAGCTCTCGACTCGTCGACCGAGCTCTGGACGATGCCGACCTCAAACCACCAGCGCCAGCAACGACGTGCCACGGCTCGCCGCGCCGCTGTTGCGACCGACGACGTGCCGCGGCCGAAAGGAAGAGGCCCGCGCAACCACTTCTGGGACCCGCGGCCGCCGGGCGTGCGGCGGCACAACGAGTCGAACGAACCGAACCAGCGCAGAGCGGCGCGTCTCGCGAGCGCCCGCGGCCGCCACGCCGACGCCGTCCGCGGCCGACGGTGGTCGCGAATCAACGCGGCGCGGTGCAACGAGGCCAAGTCCTTCCAGGCTCCCGCCAGCAGCGCCTCGTGCCGTGGGCTGCACGGCCCTTCGAGACGGCCCGGGGGGCGGTGAGAGACCTCTCCCGCCGGCATGGCGCACTATATCACCCGTAGAGGCCTCTCTATAGTCGCCTTTTGGCACCTCCTCTCTCCACGCCGCCGATTAGACCTCGCCGCATCGCATCGCCCCCTTCCCTGCCCCGTCGCCCTCCTGAGCTCTCCCTCCTTCGCTCCAGCCATGCACAGGACAGCTGGGCCATTGGCCCGCGTGCCAGGCGTCCGGGACGGCCGGGTATCGGCTCCGTACTTTGAGCCCTCTTGGGCCACCCTCGCGTCCACCGGCCGGCAGAGCACCGCTTGGGCGACTCAGACGGCCCGCCCGACCAGCGCGTTCGATCGTGCCGCCCCCACAGCGTCAGTGGCGTGCGTGGGGTGGCAGGCGGCGTCAGCGCAGCCCCTCGTGGGGGTGCCCACCGCTCTCCTCTCACCGCTCCCCCCCGCCCGTGGCACCCCACACACTCGTCCCTCCTCAGGGGCGCAAGGCGGCACGGCACGTTCAGCGCTTGCCTCGGCCCACCTCGCCTTCACGCCCGCCACCGCGACCAAGGAGGTGGCCTCGGCGGCCCAGATGAAGCCCGTGCGGCTCGTTTGGGAGCCGCATGCCGTCCCTCTCTCGCCGGCGCTGCTCACCACGACCAAGCCTACGCCGAGGAACCCGTCGCGCCCGTCGCTCACGAGCTGGTGGCTCGCATCGACCGAGCCGTCCAGCTTTCTCACGCCCTGCCCACGATCAAATTCGAGACGACCAACATCCGACCACAAAAAAGGCCCGCGCGTGCTGCGCGGGCCGGCGAGCGACTAGCGAGCCAACCTGCTAGTAGATCTATGAACAGCGCCGCATTGGCGGTCGGACGCCGTATCCTTCGAGCAACTGTGTAGCCGACAGTCAATGAAGCAGGGCAAAAACGCTGCGCCCCGGGCCTCCGCCCGGAATTACCACAGCGGCCCCGAGTCCGAGGCCGAGGCGGCGGACATTCGCTGCGCCGCCATCGACGAACGGCGTGCGGTGCTGACCGCGCCGTCGCGAAGTGTCGACGCGCAGAAGCCAGAGCCATCCGTAGAGAGGCTCGGCGCGCTCGACCTCCGCCGCGTCCTCCAGCCTGCGTCCGCGACGACGACGACGCCGCCGGGCCTACGCCGGCCGCCGCTCGCCGCGCAGGGCTCGAGCTCCAAGCTTCCCAAGGGGAGGAAGGCGAGGAGCGGGGACGTCAAGGTGCAGCTCGGCTCGCTGACGCCGGCGCGGCCGCCGTGGCTGGGGGTGGACTTCGAGTCAGAGTACGAAGAGCGGCGCAAGTTCGACTTCAAGAACTCGGACATCGAGGAGTCCGACTTTCGCGGCTCGGAGGACATCGAGGACGGGGAGGCGAGGGCGCCGCCCGGCCTCGCGGCTCGCTCGGCGATGCACCGTGCGCCGCGGAGGAGAGCCAAATCCGCGTGCTCGTCGTACCGCGCCTACCTGCGCGACTCGCCCCTCCGCGCCTCCTCCCTCACCGCGATGATCATCATGAGCTTCGGCGAACGCCTCTCTCTCTCTGCCCCCTCCTGCCAGACGTCACCCCTGCGGTCACGGGGCCCTCGTCCACTCTGAGACCTGTCCCGCTGACCTGCCCGCTGCCCTGTCCGGCGCAGGCGACCTGCTCGCCCAGGCCATCGAGCTCTTCTCGCACCACGAGGGGCAGCTCACCGGGGACCTGAGGCGACCCCCCCCCCCCCCACATACAAAGGCGCCTCCCTCTTTTGGAACACCTACCTCTCCAACCTCGCACACCAGTACCTCGCCACGTTCCCGGGCGGCGGAGGAGGCGCCGTCGCGCGCCGCTCGGCCGCATTCGCCGACGAGATCTTGCACCTCGCGAACAACGTTGGGCTGCAGGAGGAGGTCGAGGCGCGGGCAGGGCTTGCGGGCTTGAGCGCGGCAGGAGCAGCCGGCGGCGGCAGCACAGGGAAGGAGGAGTCGGGTGCGGGCGGCGCGGCGGATGGGAGCGGGCGCAGGATAGCGGGCGCGCGCGGCGGCCGCCACAACAGGGCTGGGAAGCCGCCGGGGGAGAGGAGGGCCCGGCGGGCAGATATCGGAGCGCTCCGCGGTTTAGAGGCGAATCTGACAGCCCTATACGCAACGTCGGGGTTGTGACCCACTGATGAGGCGGTGAGGTGGGGGCGTCTCGCGCGCGAAACTGTGCGAACACACGAGGAGAGAAGACAGAAGTGCACAGAGTTAGTTGTAAGGAGCTTGGGGCTTCGTACAGCACTCTACCAGAAACAGATAACAGCTTGCGTAATCATGTTCCTGTATCCTGAGAGCTGAGACGTCTTGCGGCATGCGGGGGGTTGCGCGAGCGCCGCGATCCCGCGAACAGGCCGAACGCGCTTGTTTGTACCTTGTTGTTGTTCACCTTTCAGTTGACACATGACCATCCTCAATCCACATCGACAAGTACATCCACGGCCCATGGTTTGCCGCATCCTCGGACAACACAACCTCCACGTAATCACAGTACTTGGTTTTGTTCTTGTTGGTTGTTGCAGAGCTGCGCCGGCCGCGCCGCCTGCGCGCTCAAGATACACGTCACACCCTCGAGCGCCGCCCACTCGCGTCCTCGCGCCGCCGCCGCCTTTGTCTCCTTGCTGCGCACCAGAGCATAGTTCGGGCCCACCCCCGCCATCCCTGGTCTGGACGATTCTTTTCGCGGTATCCGCGGCGGGATATGAGGGGATATGGCGCGGGATATCGGGAGATACCGGGAGATACACGTGGATATGATGAGATACGGAGCGCCCACGATGTGTTCACGACCGAGGGCACGTGAGCGCGCTGCGGCCGACATGTGTTAGCGGGTGCATGTGTCAGCTCGCGTGTCAGGCTCAGGGCTCGTGTGCCTTCTTCAAAGAAATTCCCCTTTTCAAAGTTTCTTATTTGCTCGGAGGCGGAGCGCGGAGAGGAGGGTAGGATACGGCGGGATATGGCGGGATATGGCGGGATACGGTCAGATATGAGAGATACATCAAGATACCGCAAAAGAATCGTCCAGACTAGGGCTCGGGAGCCCGCCGCACTGTCCAGCACGTGGACGGCGCTCGCCAGCTGGCAGTTCGACCGCCTCGTCCATGGCGCTGCCCCTCCGCACCACAGTCTTCAAAACTGCACGTCCGTAGTGCAAATCTGCATGCCTGGGTGGCTTCGTGTTGCGACGGCATGGAGGAGCACAAGCTGCTAGATCGCCGACGCGATTACACGCGTGGAGAACTGGGGGAAGGTTCATGTTCATGTCATGTGCCTGTGCATGTGACGCTCTGTGCAAAAAGAGAAAGGCCACAGTTGCCACATGTTTTTATATTTGGCAAATTTCTGCATGCGTAGTTTGGAGAGACTAGACGAGGCGACCTTGAATGTGGGTAATATGAGACGCACCGACACTCGGGCGGGCAGGGGACGCGCTCCCGGCGGCTCTGGCCCTACGCGATACCAAATACAGAGCCATGCTCACTAGGCTCGCAGAGATCCCAAACATGAGTCTCCCGCTAGGCCGACGGTCCGCGCGGCGCCCTCAGGAACCTCGAGAGGGGTGCATGTCCAGCCCGCGTGCGCGCGCCGCAGCTCCATGAGACCTGGCACCACCTCCAGGTTGGGGATGTTTGCGGGCTCAAGGCCGCACAGGTAGGACCACAGCACACGCGAGATAGCGCGGTCGCACACGACGACGACGTTATTCCTTGACTGCTCGATGGCAAGGACGGTGTCCAGCAGCCGCTGAATCACATCCTGGTACGACTCGCCTCCGACGCCGGGGAAGCGGTAGCTCAGCTTGTCTCTCTCGCGCGCCTCTCGCTCCGCCACGTGCTCCGTGTGCAGCGACTCTGCTGGCACGGACTCAAGCTCGCCGGCACAGAGATCGTTCAATCGCGTGAGCCGTGTGACCGAGGTCGGCTGGATCTGCTTTCGCATCATGTCGATCATGGGCGAGTAGCGGCGCAGAGTGCCGCTAATAATGGCCGGATTGCTATGCTGGGTCCCCGCAAGCTTCTCAGCAGTCGACCAGCTCGCGATCCGCCGAGCGAGCAGCGCTACAGTTGCGCGGGCGTACTCAAGGCCATCAGCAGAAAGCGGCGAGTCACCACCGACAATGTCGCTCGTGTCGTTGAGGGTCTGTCCGCAAAGCACCTGCGCGGGTCGTGCAAGTGAGGTTGGTGGGTTCTTGTGGCGGGTGGTGGATTGGGGAACAGAGGCGGCGCACAAGCCAGATTGCTCGCGGCTCGAGGTGGATGGCGTGCAGCAGCGCCACAATCCGCGTCGAGACGTAGCCAGCGAGGCCCGACGCGACGAGCCTCTGCCCCGCGTTGTGGATCTGCAGGTAGCTCACGCCTTCTGCGGGCTCGATCCGCTCGTACGCCTCCTCGTACTTTTTCACGCGTCCAACGAAGTCCTCGAGCGCCTCTTTTTTGTTGGTCTTCGTCTTGGCGAGCTTCAGCCGATAGTTGTGCTTGAGCAACTCGTCGTCGTCGCAGATAGACTCGAGAAAGATGAGGCGGACGGGCGGTCTCTCGTCAGCGCACCGAGCGACAATCTGCTGCCGCCGTGCAACTGTGGTGTTAGTGGCATCGAAGATCGCACAGGCACAGCCCGAGGCGCCAGTCGCAAGCCACGTCGTGGCCGTCGCGTCGCGTAGCCAGGAGAAAAGTTCGTCGAGCGTCTCCATCGCAACTTGGTCGCGGGTTGCTATGGCGTCGTCGGTTCCCGGGTCGCTGACCCGGCTGCTTCGGCGGACCTCCGTTTTGCGGTGCTCTTCGGAGTTGAAGATGCGTGCTGGGCAGCCTATGAGGTTGAGGTACCGCACTACCGCCTTCGATAGGTAGCTCTTCCCTCGTGCGGGCAGCCCCACCATGGCGACCACAACCCGGTCGCGCAACTCCGCGCCCTCTACGCGTGCGTACGCCGAGCGGGGAGTAAGCGTCTCCGATGTGGCCTTGGCCGCGTGCTTCCAATGCCCTCCCGGAGACCTTCCAGAGCCGCCCTTGTCTGGCAAGGTCACCGGCGGCACGCAGGTCTTGGCTGGCGCAGCCGCGCTTGTGTTGCTGCTGGCCTGGCCACCCTTTGCGCGCGCGTAGCGTCGGGCGGCCAACGCGGTGACAGCAATACAGATGCTACACACGACTGTCAGCCGCGCCAATGCTGCCGCAGAGCTCATGTTGAAGTTCGCTTGTTCGCGCGTTCGGCCTTTGCTCGAGGTGGGGACGGCCGCGCGGAAAAGGATAACTGCGTGGAACGTGAAAAGTCGAATGCCACGTTCGGATCGCTTCTCATCGCAAACCCTGTCAGCAGTTCACCCTCGGGTATGTTCGTAAGAGCTACATATACTGAAAAGTTAGTTTGGTAGTGGTATACAGGCCCTCGACTTTGCTCAGGGCGCAGGGCAGGTTGACGGCGTCTGGGACCTCGACTCCAAGGAACTGAAGCTTGCACTCGACAGGTGGGAGCGGAGGAACGGTTCCGACGCAAGCTCTCTCCCACAATCTCTCGCACAATCTCTCGAACCCAGTGAGCGCGGCAGTGATGACTGCCCCATCCTCTCCGAAGATTCGTTCACCGGCTTCTCCGACTGCGCTGAGTGGTAGGGCCCCCAAGGGCCTAGAAATCGCGCCTGCCTCTCCCTTTTCTCCCAGTAAGCTAAAAGTACGTACAGGCACAGGTCAGGTACCCTGCCACATCAGCGATCAGCATCAGGCAGGGGCGGTGGCGGGCGTGTTGCATCCGTGGCGGACTCCTCCTGGGACCTGGCGTGTGTGCTCCGTAAAGGTCGTGAGCGAGTGACGGATAAAGTCGTGTGAAAGAGCTGTGAAAGCGAAAGTAGCGAAATTAATTGCCCGCCGCAGGCGAAGAAAATTTTCAGGGTTTTTGGTCTCCTACGCCAAAGAAATCGAAGATTTCGGCGGGCGCCCGACGCGCGGTATGGAGCACGCGCGCTGCCCGGCATGCCTGCAGCATCCAAACGAGACGCACGGCGTCGCTCAGCCGTGTCCACGCGGCTTCGCTCCTGTCCTAACCGGCGCCATCTGGGCGGCTGCTGCGGAGCTGCTGCCGGCGGTGCGGCAACTGGCCGACAGATACAACGCTCAGGGCACCCGCCGGCGATTCACTGGAAAGGAACGAAGGCGCCGCTGTCGGCGATTCACCGCCGTTCGTTCCCGTCTCTCAAGCTGGCTACACCGTCCATGGACGAGGGAGACGTCGCCTCCTCTTTCGTCCCGGGCACTGTTCGCGCCGGAAGGCACCGTACACTGCGAAGTACATTAGCCTTCATCTCTCCTACCGCCGGCCGGGAGTGCAGCTTTCGCCATCGCTGAGTGAGTTTATCCTCGACTTTGGCACCTGCGAAGTAATGAACAACATGCAGTACGTCATATGCAATGGCGCTATATGACAGCCCTGCGATGGGCGTCCTCGACGCAGACGAGGCGGAGCTCATCTGCACGGCGCAGATCGCCGACTTTCTCTCTCTCCCTGCGCGAGTGGTTGCGCCACCGTGGATGAGGCATATGGGCTGGGCAGGGGAGTTGGTAGAGGAGGTCGACTGAGGGCGCGAGGCCGCCAATCGTCACAGTCTGCTGCTGACTGTCGGTCGCTGACTGGTTGCGCATTGCGCTGGCCGCGCAGCGGCCTTTAGAAAATTTTGGCCGCAGGCCTAGGTTTTGAAAGATCAAGAGAATAAGCGCCGGTGAGTCTTTCAGAAGCTGCCGTTTGCGGCTTCCTAAGTCAATTTTTCGAGAGGAACGTTTTGGCTGAGCTATAACGGCTCCAAAGTCGCGCGATCATCGAGTTTTGAGTCAATAATTATGAAAGGAAAGGGCTGGCGAGAATTATAGCTCAGCCAATCGATTCAGCGTGCTCTGAAACGCCCAAAACCGTCGAGTTTTTCACCGTGGTCCAAACAGAGAGCTTAATATTTTGATTTTCTTGGCCACGGCCACGATTACCCGTCACTCGCTCTCGTGTGAGCTGTGATTTTTGAATTCCTGACAGGGGGCCCGCGAGGCCACCGCACAGTAGGAGCAGGCGCATTTTGCACCGACAATGAAAGTTCATCGACACTGCCCCACTCGCCACTGATCAATACGTGGCGCCGAAGTTGGCATGGGTGATGCGCGTGTCGCTCGAGCGCGACGTCCCCGAGAGTGGCGCGAGGGTCTCAGGCCGCATCATCAGCTGCGTCTTTTGCGCGACGATGCGGGCGACCAGCTCGCCCTTGGCCTCCTCCTCGTCGTACTCCACCTCCATGTAGTCGAGCAGTGCCTACCGGTCCGGAAGGGCAGACAGTGAGGTGCAGCTCTCGCCAAGGCGGACCTCGAGGCACGGGCGAGCGGCGCCCAGAGCTCGTCAATGGTCCTCGCCTCGAGCCGCGCGCGCTCCTCCCGCTCGAGCCGCACGCGCTCCTCCACCGCCTCCGCCGTGTCCGCCGCCGCCGCCGCCATCTTGCGCGCGACGCGCCCCTGCATCACCAGCGCCACCAGCCGCGGCTTGTCCTCCTCGGCGCCACGGAAGCGGGAAGCAGGGATGCTCATGTACTCGAGGAGCAGCCGCAGCTGCAGCGCCGACTTTTGGTACAGCACCGCCTCCTCCTTGGACGCTGGCTGGAACTTGGCCGTCCGCTCCGGCTGCGGCTGGCAGGAGCGAATGGCGCGCGCGATCGCAGTCACCCACCGCGTGCGCTCCTCCTCCGAGGCGGCGGCGAGCAGCGTCGTCACCGGGGAAGCGTCCTCCTCGGCCTGCGACGTGATGGAGAAGGCGTGCGGGTGCACCTTGTCGCCCGCGGCGGCAGGCACGAGCAGCGCGTCCTTGTTGAGGGCGACGAGCCCCTTGGCGACCGCCTGGCCGCCGGCCTGCGCCGTGTCCGCCGACTCGTAGTAGGCGAGGGTGGGCGCCTGGGCACAGAGACACCCGTGAGCGCAACGGCAAGCAGCGCGGCCGGCCCACGACGCTCGTCTGCCGTCTCGTCGCCGCGCGACCCCTTTGGCTGCAGCTCGAACCAGCGGTCGGACCAGCTGCCCATCACTGCCCGGGCGAGCACGCCCCCCCCCGCCCCGCCCCGCCGCCCCTTGCGCTTGGCCAAAGTGCCGTACCTACACTCGCACGGATGCGCCGCTCATGCTGCAGCCTTGGCGGGGGGGCGGGCGGGCGGGGGGGGCGCACGTGGGCGTGCGCTCGGCAACCTCCTCCGCCGCCCGGCCGAGCGCGTCCACCCACTTGGCGCGCTCGTCGCCTGTCGACGCGCCGAGGATGTAGACGGGCGCATCCACCTTGCCTGGCCAGCTGAGCTTCAGAGGACGCACGCCGCGCGCCACCGCCGCCTCGACGACGTTGGCCGCCGCCGCCTTCTTTGCGACAGCGTTGGCCGCCACGACGGCCCGCCCGGCGGCTCGCAGCCCGACGGGCGAGGTGCGGCTGCTGCCCCCGCCGGTGCTTGCGGCAGGGCTCGCGGCCCGGTTCTCCTCCCGACTCGAGTCCTCGTCCTCCTCGTCATAGCTCGCGATGGCGCGCGCACGCATCCCCCGCAGCCTCTCCGCCTTCTTCTCCGCCTTCTTCTCCGCCTCCGTCGCCGCAGGGCCCTCGGGCCGCGCCGCCGCGCCCAGCAGCGGCTGCGCGATGCGCTTCTCGGGGTCGACGCGCAGCTTTGACGCGCGCTTGACCTCCTCCTCCTCGTAGAACGACACGTCGCCATCCGCCACCACCACCCACGCGCGGAAGGGAGGCGCCGTACCCGCGAGCCGGCCTGCGCGGATCCGCGCCGGCGTCACCTCGAGCCAGCCGTGGATGTCGCCCTGGGGCAAGCTGACGACCCGGCCGGTGGCCTCGTCCTCGTCGGTCGGCGGGGGCGTGGCGACGAGCAGCTCGTACGACTCTCGCTGCAGCGCCTCCATCACCTCCGCCGGCCGGCGCCCCTTGAGTCTCTCCCCGTCCACCGCGAGAACGACGTCGCCGACGCGCAGGCGGTGGCGCGTCATCTCAAGACCTACGGGGGAGACAACGGCGGCGGAGTGCGCGCTCGCCCCTCCCGCCTCTCAGGCCGCAGCGGCGGAGACTCCTCCGCGCGTCAGCTTCCGCACCGCGTTGGCGTCGTCGAAGGCGATGCCGGTCGCCGTCTCGGAGAAGCCGCGCAGCGGCCGCGGCACGAGCGAGCGCGGGTCGAGGGCGTTGCGAAAGGCAACCTTGCGCTGCTCGATGGCGCCCGAATCGGCCTGCCCGCACAGCCACTCCTCCTCCGCCGCGGCAACCTCGAGCCGCGCCCCCTCCTTCGCGGCGCGCTCGAGCGCCATCCGCTCCTCCCACTCTGAGAGCATCGTCCCAAACCGCTCGTCGACCAGCCCCTGCGCCGCGCCGAGCGCGGCGATGAGCTCGCAAGTGAGGCCGCACGCGGCGTCGGTGGCGTCGGCGAGGGCGCTCTTGAGCTCGTGGAAGGCCGCGAGGCGCGGAGAGTGGTGCTCGCCCTCGTAGTCGGAGCCGAGCGACGAGGCGAGCGAGCCCATGTCGTCCGATGCGCGCTTGAGCGCCGCGCGCGCCTCGGCCGTCGCGAAGAGGAGCTTGTCCGCCTCCGCCTTTTGCACCTCGATCTCGAGGGCGCGCAGCGCGCGCTTCTCCGCGGAGAGCCCGCGCTCGAGCGCGCTCACCTCCGCGCCGACCGCCTCGAGCCGCTCCCTCATCCGGGGCAGCGGAGGAACCTCGAGCGCCGCCGGCAGCCTCGCCGCCGCGAAGCCGCGCTGCGCCTGGCGGAGCCCCTTACTCGCACGGTCGAGGCTGGACTCGGCCTCGAAGAGCGGCCGCGGGGCTCCGTCGGCGGCGAGCGCGGCGGTTGCCGCGTCGAGCGCGGGCCTGTGCGTGCGGAGGAGAGCGGCGATGCGTCTGCCGAGCCGCGCGCGCGCGACTGCCTGCACTGCGACGGCGGCTCTGCGGCGCGCGGCGAGGCGAGGGACGTCGAGAGCGGCGGCGACCGCGGGGCGCATGAAGAGCTTGGACGTGCCTAGCTGCGCCTCGCGGCTGGCGAGCCAGTCCGGGTTGCCGTCCAGTTTGCCGGCCGCCGCCCGCAGCAGCCGCTCCGCCGCCTGAGGGATGTGACAAGGACGTGTCAGGGACAGTCAGGGGCGTGCGCCTCCCGAGGTGGGCCGATGAGTACAACCTCGGCCGGCTCTAATGATTCTCGGCTAGAGCCTCGCCTCCCGCGGCGGCCCGTCGAGCAGACCGGGCTGGTCGAAGACGACGCAGCGGTAGCGGCCGAGGAAGGAGGCATACGGCAGCTTGACCTGGTAGCCCGCGCGCCCGATCTCGAGGACGGCGCCCACGCCGAGGTAGCGCAGCTGCCGCTGGACGTAGGCGGCGTCGAGGGAGTGGGGCGTCTTGGTGGAGTTTGGCTTGATGCAGCGGACAAAGTGCTGCTGCGTCACGAGCAGCGCTGCGCCGAGCGAGCGGAGCGACTCGCGGAAGACGCCAGAGACGGAGGGCGCGCGTGAAGACTGGCCGGTGGAAAGGGGCGGCGCCTCGAGGGCGGCGCCGGAGGGGAGGGAGAGGAGCGGGTAGTCGGAGCCGGCGAGCAGCTCCGTCACCTACAGGAAGGCTCCAAGAAGCTTCCACGGAGGTTGCGGGCAGTCGGAGCGCGAGCAGCGGCGTCGCCTCGTGCCGGACGGCGGAGCGGTTCTTGTCGAGCCAGCCGCGCGCGGTGTACTGCACCTCCTCCGCGTAGTGCCGCACGCAGAAGAGGGTCTCCGGCCCGACCTCAGCCGCCAGGGCCGCGCCCGCCGCGCCGGCGCCGAAGCGGGCGCGCGAGTAGAGGCCCGGCCTCGACTTTTCGAAGACGGCGTGCATCTTTTCCACGAGCGCCTCGTCCGAGCCTCGCGGGATGCGGCACTCCTCGTCAAGGAGGGCGAAGATGCCGCCCTTGCCGCCCAGCATGGAGACCTGCTCGGCGTTGGACGGGTACTCGATGTGGTCGCAGACCACGCCCTCGCGCGCGTACTCGGCCTGCTCGCGCTTGATGAGCGCGTCCATGAACCAGCCTTGCAGCACCTCGTTTGCATAGTTGATGCACAGCTGCTCGAAGCCGTTCCGCTCAAACGACTCGAAGCCGAAGACGTCGAGCAGCCCGATCGTGCGCGCCTCGCCGCCGCCGCCGCCGAGCGCCTCGTTCACGCGCCCCAGCACGTGGCTCCACAGCGCCGAGTAGACGCGCCGCGCGAGGTCGTCGCGCGCGGCTGCGGCGGCGGCTGTGTCGAGGTGGACGGTGACAGCCTCCCCGCCCGCCACCACCCTCCGCGTGGTGAGGGCGAGCACGAGCGCGCTACTCCGCACGCCGAGCAGGCTCGCTGCGCCGTCGGCCGCCGCGGGCTCCGCCGGCGCGGCGGCGTCGCTGCCTCCGCGGCCTCGCCCTCCCTCCTTGAAGGAGACATCACCGAGCGCGAGGACGGCGGCGAGGACGGTGAAGGCCGCCTCGCGCTGCGCGTCGCTGAAGCCGAGCGCGGTGAGCCGCGAGCACGTCTCCACCCACCCGGCGGCGTCGTCCTTCCCTCCGACGTACGCCTCCGCCTGTGGCGTCGCCTCTTTCGCCATCGCGCCTCGCTGCTGCTTCAGAGGCGGCTCGGCCGGGGTCCAGCGCGCATAGGCGTGCGCCTCCGCCTGCGGCTTGAGGCGCCAGGCGGCGCGCTGCTTGGCCGAGGCGCCCCCGAGCAGCTGGTAGAAGATGTGGTAGTTGCGCTCGCCCGCAGGGTGCGACGAGACGCGAGAGGTCTCGAGCAGGAAGTGCGCGATCGAGCAGCCGGCGACGCGGCCGGACGCGCTGAAGTGGAGGGTCTGCCACTTGCCGAAGCGAGACGAGTTCGAGTTGCGTACGGTGCGCGCGTTGCCAAACGCCTCGAGTAGCAGCCCCGCCTCGAGCACCCGCCCGGCGATGATCCCCGCAGCGGCGGCCGCAGCCGAGGACATCGCCGCCGAGGCGGCGAGCCGCACAAGCGAAGAGAGCGCGAGCTTGGTCGTCTCCGTCTTGCCGGCGCCCGACTCGCCGCTCACGAGAATGGCTTGAGGCCCGTCGACCAGCCCGTCGTAGGCCTCGAGGGCGACGCGGAAGATGTGAGCCGGCAGGTCGCTCACGGCAGCGCCACCTGTGCGGGAGAGACGGTGAGCAGGCTGAGCGGCAGATGCTATTGAGCGGATAGATGCTATGCTATGCTGCAGGGTAGTGCCAGTGCTATGTGAGCACCGGCATTCAGCGCCGCGAGCTCGGCCAGGCAGCGCTGGTCGCAAGCTGCCACCGGAGCATACGGATTGACGGCGAGGAGCACAGGCCCAATCGAAGTGTAGATCTCGTCCTCGTTGTACCGAGCGGCCAGTGCGTCGTAGGCCTCCACCTCATCCTTTGCTGAGAACAGAGCGTTGCTCCCAGCGCTGAGGGAGGGCATCCAGAGGTGAGCGCTAGGAAAGAGGGCGGCGGCTCCCCGGCCGGAGCCAGTCCGCGCAGGAAAAGAGGGCGGCGGCTCGCCGGCCAGTCCACACAAGGAAGAAGAATTCTAACGGCCTCTTTCACAGCACACTGGCACGACAAGGGCGCGGACTGGCGCGGACTGGCACACACACCGGCTCACAAGGAAGAAGAATTACGAAAAAACTGGTCGCCGCGAGCGTGGAATAGGACCGCCGCAAGCGGCGTGGCGAGGTGGCGAGGGGAGCGGTTGTCCATCCCTCCGGGGGCCCCTCTGCGCGCCGGGGAGGCGTTGTTGGAGGCTAGGACGCAAGCGTCCGTCGCCTTTTTCAAACTCGGGGCCCACTCCGCTACGCTCCGACCCGAATTTGGAGGGCCATGAAGTTTAAGGTGTTGCTGCGCTCCCTTGGCGGGTCTGTTTTCTTCCTTTTTTGGGCACGGGACTGGCGCGCACTGGCACTAACACGGTAACCTTCTAGTAAAGAAGAAAACCCAAGTCAACTCGAGCGGACGGACCAACCGCCGAGCCGGTGGAAGGCAGCCACCGCGGGTCCAGCAGCGCGAGCTGGTGTGCCATGGTATTTCGAGGGGTCCCGTACCATGCAGAATCGACCCTCGACCTCTTCGGCTGCGTCGCTGCGCGGGGCCTGTCGCGAGGCTGGGGGCCGCACGAGCTCTCCGGCATACCTTGGGCGTTCGCGCGGGCGGGGCACGCAGCGCCGGAGCTGTTCGACGCTGTTGCAGAGGCGGCCGTCCCTCGCTTGCGTGAGTACGGCCCGCAAGATTTTGCGACAACCGCGATGGCGTACGCGACTGCTGGCCACGCAGCGCCGGAGCTCATGGACGCGATGGCAACGGCCATGGCGGAGCGGCTCGACGAGTTCACGCCTCCGGCGCTTGCCACTCTGGCCTCCGCCTACGCAACGCTAGGCCACGCGGCGCCACTGATGTTTGACGAGATTGCGACGGTCGCGATCCGTCGGTTGGGCGAGCTCAAGCCGCAAGATCTGGCCAGCCTAGGTAGGTGAAGAACAAACAACCCGGACTGGACACCAAAGCGGTATCTTTTGGGAATCCAAGGAGATGCTTGAGCAAAGTTGCAAAGAGTGAACGGGAAAGAGAATTCTACCAAACATGCCCCTCTCACAGCAGACTGGCTCGGACAAGCAAACAAAAGGCAAAGGCCCGCAAGGCAGGGGAAAGAATTCGCTGCTGGAAGCGCGCCTACCGACCGTCAAGTACAGCCAAAATGTCGTTCCAGGCTCGCGCGATCAACAAGGCGCGCGAGATTGGGTTCGGGCCGTTGGTGCTGCTTCTCGTCGCGGTGCTCTGCGGGCTCAAGGGCCCGATCTTCTTTGGCCTCCTCGTGCTGCTCTGCTGGAACTGTGTCGTTCGCGACGCCTTCCACGCTGTCGGGAGTACGGTGCGAGGGCTGAGGCAGCACGGCCCTAGCCGGTCGGCGCCAAGCGCACCGCAGACTGTCTCCGAGTATCGCGCCTGGCTCCTCCGCTGCACGCACGCGCCGCTGCCGCCGGCCGACTCGCCGCTCGAGGTGTACGAGAAGCTCTACCGCGAGCATGGCGGGCGACCCACGCCGGACGCCAAGGCCGCGCCCACCCCCACGGATACGGCCGACGCGCCACCAGTCTTCGTGGACGGCAGCGGCGCTGTCGCCTCCAAGCTGCTGCCGCCGCCCTCGTCGCTGCGGCTGGCGGCTCTCGTCGCGGCCGCCTGGAGCGCGACGGTGCTCAGCGCGCTGGTGCCGCCGGCAGCCTGCGGGCTGGGCTTCAGCTGGCAGCTGTCTCCGCTCGGTGTGGCGCTGCTCGACCCGCGCACCGCTGCGCAGGCCCTCGGCGGCGGGCTCGGCGCGTGGGCTGTCTTCGACCGCCACCCGCGCAGCGTGCCGCTCCGGGCCGCGGTGGTAGCAGCCGGCGTGGCCGCCATCGCCGCCGCGCTGCACGTGCGCGCGCTGCTGACGCTGGTCGGCCCTTTCCTCTTCACCGCCTCGCCCCGCCTCTACCACTCCCTCGCCGGCACCGCTGTCCCCGTCGCGATCCGGTACTCGCTGCTGCCCGCCACAGCCGCGGTGGCGGCGTGCTCGGCGACGGCCCGGCGCGCGCCCGCCTCGCGGAGGAGGCGCGGTCCGGTCCGGTACGCGCTGTTCGCTGCTGCCGCGGCGGCGGTCGCTGTCGGTGCGGCCGCTGGTCGGCTGCCGCTCGTGGATGGGCTGAGGTCCGCCTCGGTCAAGGCTGGGGCGGGCGACTTCAGCGGCGCGAGGGAGGAGCTGTGCGGAGGCGTGCTCCGCTCGACGGGCCTGCCGCGCCTCTGGTTCTGCGGCGGCGGGGGAGGGCTGCTGCACCCGGACTCGGACCCCTCCTCCGCGGCCCGCGAGGCGCGGTTGCTGCTGGGGCTCAGCTCTGGCTCTGCCCAAGCTCGAGAGGGGCGGGTGCTGCGGGGGGCGTCTCTTCACGCCTCCCGCTGCGAGTAGGCTTCGTCTCGCTCGCCGAGCTCAAGGCGGCGCACCGCAAGGCCGCCCTCGCCACGCACCCTGACAAGCTGCCGCCTTCGGCCACCGACGACGACCGCGCCGCAGCCGCGCAGCGCTTCCAAGCCATCCAGGAGGCGTACGAGCTCCTCCTCGCAAAGATGCCGCCGCCGCCGCGCTCGCCGCCGCCGCCGCCGCCGCCGCCGCCGCCCGATGAGGAGGAGGAAGACAGGGATTCTCGCGACGAGCTCTAGCCGTTCGTGTCTTGTTGTGTAACATGTGTCGCGGTGTGCGCCGTCGCTCGTGTCTCGTGTGTGCCTGTGTCAGCTGTCACCGCACCCCGAGGTCCCACACCACCCATCACGACCCAGCCGCACAACGGAGCTCGCCGGCCGTAATTCCAGTCGTTTGTGGACGGGAGGTTTGTCGCACTTTGTTGCCATGGCCGATGCTCCTAGGAAGAGAGGTCATCTGGCTACCGCGAGAGCGACCCAACTCGTCGACATCGTCCGATGATGGTGCCGCAAAGTCAGCCTTCGGAGGCTATCGTGGGGTCGAGCCGGCAGTAGCCGTGACATGATTGTGACATGTGGTTCCACCACCCCTCGTAGGCTTTGCCTCTGACCGCCACCGTTCCCAGGCTGCCTTTAATGGGATGGAAAGGAAGGCTCGGCGAGCGTGTAGAAGCGTGCTCGACCTCGTCGTGGCAACCTGTACGGCAGCGCTGGTAGGCGCGATGAGCGTCGTGCCACCTGACCCGAGACGGGTCGCAGGCGTCGTACCGAGCGCGTCGAGACCGTGTCCTGATGTGGTCTGCACGGGTGAGTCACGTCGGCGTCAAAGGAGCGACGTGTGACCTGTCAGAGCTTGATCTCCGATCTCAGCGGCGTCGAGTCGTCTCCGGCGCGCAACAAATGTACCTCTCCAGGACGCGCAGAGGCAGCTGCGAGCCTGCGACCCAGCCGATTAAGACGGCGTCACACCGCGCCACCTGCTGTGTGACGCCGTCCACTCGGCGGGGTCGCAGCTGCCTCTGGAAGGCACCGAGAGGTACATTTTTCGCGCAATGGTCAAAATCAAGGTTTTGTAACGCGGGCTGTGCCACACTGAAATGGCACTAGCCATTATCACCCCTCCACGGCGGCCACGCTTGCGGTTGCGCGCGGCCGCGGAGAAATCACCTCGGGCGGGCTCTATGTCTATCTCGCGGGCGGCTTCCACACAGCCGGCGTCTGCCACAAGCACGGCAGCGCCGCCTCGAGCTCGTTCGCCGCGTCGATGACCACGTCGATCGCGGGGTCGTCCTCCTGCGGCGCGTCGCCCGGCTTGGTCGCCTCGGCCGCCGCCTTGCTCGCGTCGTCGCCGCCCTGCCTGCCGCGCACCAGCACGGTGCGCATTCCAATCGCCTTGGCCGCGCGGATGTTCTTCATGCTGTCTTCGACCATGATCGCCTCCTCGGCCGTCGCGCCGACTCTCTCCAGCACGGCGGCGAAGGCGGCCGGCTCCGGCTTGCAGGCGGGCATCACATCCTCGACTGCAAAGAGCCGCTCGTCGGGGAAGAGGTCGCGCAACCCGAGCGCCTCGAGCACGCGAGCGGCATAGCGCCGCGGCCCGTTGGTGAATGCTACGAGAGTGAGCGGCGAGCGGCGGAGACTCTCGTTGAGCGCCTCGTCTGGCTTGAGGTAGCGCTCAAAGTCGAGGCGCGTGGCCCACCACTCGGAGAGCGCCGCCGCATCAAAGCACGCGCCCTCAGGGAGCTTGCCCTCGGCCTCGGCGACGGTGAGCGCCTTGACCGTCGAGTGGTAGCGAGCAAAGTACTCGTCGCGCAGCGCCTTTGCGGCGGCCGAGCTCTCGAAGCCCAAGTCCTTGACCATAAAGTCGTACACGGCGTCGCTGTTGCGATGCGTGGTGAAGCCACAGGCGACGTCGTAGAGAGTGTCGTCAATGTCGAAGACGAGGGTCGTTGGCGCAGTCGCCATGTCCCGACCGATGTTCGGGGTCGCTGCTTGCTGGGCGCCGAAAGAGCTTGCGTCGGCAAAGAGCGCCTGGCGGGCAAAAAAGAATTCTGGCGCGGCAGCTCCCTGGCCCTGGATGTGCGGTTGATGACTGCAGTCTGCACTCCAAGTGCTCCAAGTGCCAATTGAGCACTCTGCGGTTACCAACTGCACTCCAAGTGCTCCAAGTGCACACGGAAAGCCCCTCTCACAACAGACTGGCACCGACTGTCACCGCAAAAGGGACGCAAGCGAAAAGAACCATTCGAGCGGGGCAAACCTGGGAGACGGGGCTAGCACGACGTGTTCCCGTGGGTAGGGTGCTGGCGAACACTCACCCCGACCCCGCGAGCATCCGGGCGAGCGCGCTGAAGCCCGGCCGCTCCTCTGGCCGCGCGCGCGTCGCCGCCGCCGCCGCCTCCCTCAGTGGCGCCAGGAGGGCGTCCGAACCGGCGCCGTCGTGCCGCTCCAGCAGCTCCTCGAGCAGCAGCCCGAACGCCCTCGCCTCCATCCGCTCGAAGGCCGGCCGCTGCTCGGCGGGCAGGCCGCCGTAGTAGAAGGCCGCCCCAAAGTCGGAGAGCTTCGCCGTCGCGGCGGCCGACTCATCCGCGGCCGCGCGCAGGCTGGCGCGGTGGGGCCTCTTCCGCCCACCTCCGCCTCCGCCACCGCCTCCGCCTCCTGCGGCCGCGTCGTCCCGCCAGAGGATGTTGTGCGCGTACAAGTCTCCGTGCGAGAGGGAGGAGGCGTGCAGGTGCTCGAGGGCGAGGGCGATGCCTGTCCACGCATGCAGCTGTGAAGAGGCGCCGCTTAGAGCAATCGTGCAGGCGCTCGAGGGCGATGCCGCGGGCGATGGCGAGGAGCTGCGGCCCGCTCCAGCGCGCCTCCGGCGGGTAGGTGTCCCTTGTGATGCTGCTCATCGACGGAGGCTTGCCGAGCGAGGAGAAGCCTGCCGTCGCGCAGCAGAGGACAACGCCCTCAGAGGATCGCGCCCTCAGAGGCTGGGGACTGGCGGCGGGGGCGAGGGCGGGGGCGGCGAGGCGGCTCGCCTGGAGCCCACTCGAGCACGCCGAGCAGCCGCCAGCCGCTGCCGCCGCCCCCACTCGCACCCTCGTGCTCGCCGTGGCCCTCCTCGAGGAAGCCGAGCCAGCGGAGCACGTTGGGATGGTCGACGGCGCACGAGGCGCGCACCTACAGGACACGTCCAGCGTGTGTTGGACAACATGTCCGGGTCAGGTCGACGGCGCACGAGAGGCGCGCACACCTCGTCCACGTTCCTGCCGTCCGAGGAGAGAGGCGCCTTGTACAGCTTGACTGCGACGGTCGCGCCTATCCCGAGCAGCCGCGCCCAGTGAAGAGCCGCCCCCCACGCTGCGTGACTGCGAAGGGTCACACGCCGTGCAGTCTTGCCCGCCGCACGACCGACGAGGTCCCTTCTCCGAGGGTGGCGCCGAGGTCGAGGTCCTCGAAGCGGACCTGCTCGAGCGAGGCGCGCGCCGGCGCCGGCGCGACGCACGGGTTCCCAGCCACGGCTAGCCACGTCAGCTTTGGCATCTCCAGCAGCCACGGCGGCAGGGACGGGAGGCGGTTGTTTGCGAGGCGGAGGAGCTCGAGCTCGCGCATCGCGCCAATCGAAGCCGGCAGCGACTCGAGGCGGTTGTTGGCGAGCATGAGCTTGCGCATGCGGACCAGCGTGCCGAGGCTCTCGGGCAGCGCCGTCAGCCTGTTGTCGGTCAGGATGAGCCACTGCAGCGATGGAGGGAGAGGCGCCTCGCCGAGCGAGCGGAGGCGGCATGACTTGAAGCTCAGCATGCGCAGCCTGGGCAGTGCGGCGACGGCGGGCGGGATCGCCTCGAAGTGGTTGCCAAGAGCGAAGAGCGTCTCGAGAGACAGCGGCAGCGAAGGCAGGGTGCGCAGTGCGTTGTGGGACACGTCCAGCTTCACAAGCGCCGGAAAGCCAGCGACGGCGACCGGAAGCTCGCTGTAGCCGCAGTGCTTGAGATCGAGCTCGGTCGTGGACACAGCGTCGTACGAGGAGAGGAGGCAGCGGTCCTCCGTTCCAAGAGCGCACAGCGCTCCGCTCAAGTGAAGGAGCGCAAAGAGCGCGACGCCTCCGCCGCAAGCGAGCTTTGCGGCGGAGGTCTCACGGCGTGCTGGACGGCGGCGGTAGTCCTCGCTGCCCATGTGCATGCGGGGGCGACGCACAAGCGCAGTCGTTACGATCTCGGCGAGTGCCAGACCTTCCCGAGCGCCCGAGCGAGCAGCCGACCCGTCGGCGAGGGCACAACGTAAGCACGTGATGTGAAACCTTTGTGAGCTTTCTTTCTTTTCACCTTTGGGGCCCTAAAATACAACTTCCCAAAAACGACGGCAAGAAACCAAGAGCGAATCTTTCTTTCCTCTTACACGGGCCGAAAAGAACAACGATTGGCCATAGCGCATAGGGTTTGGAACTGGTGAGGTGGTGTTGGAAAAAGCCATGGAAAAAGCCCAGCTGGTCAGAGCGCCCTCCCGGCCGGGCCCTTGATTTTCGCCCAAAAAGAAATATCCGGGGAAATCAAGGCGGCGCCGCAGTGCTTCCGGCTGGCTGCGGCCCCACCCCGCACCCATCAGGCGGCAAAGACGCTCACCTCCGCGTCCTCGTACTCCCCCGTCGTCGCGACGTCGAGGAAGGCCTCGCAGACCGACTGTGCAACACGCCGAGTGGGTGTGAGCAGAGAGGAGGTGGGATCGGTGTGGCCCACGCCGCCTCCCTCGCCTGCATCTCCACAAAGAAGGACAGCTTGGCGGCCGTGTCGCTCACCGGCACCAGCTTGTACGTCTTGACCGGGTCTGTGTAATCCTTGACAAAGCTGCTCGTCTTGAGCACCGTCGCTCGCAGAATCGTCACGCTCAGACCCATCGCCTTGCGGTTCGCGAGGATGTAGTCCTCGGCCGCCTGCATGTCTTCGAAGCAGGCCTTGAGCGCAACCTGCGGTCGGGCGAGGGCGGTGTGAGCGACGGCAGGCTCCGCTCTGCCTGCGGCCGCAGCGGCGCGCCTTCGGCACAAGCCACGCCACAAAGCAGCCCCACGCTCGCCGGCCCTGCTCGGCGCTGTCGCCCAGTACGATGGAGGACATGCTGAGGAATCGCGGCGGCGTCTTGCCAGCCTTTCTGAGGGACAGCAGCGCGCCCATCACAGCCTCCACGCCGGGCGAAACCACCCACTCTGGCGGGTTTGTCATGCCCAGAAAGCTCATCACCACATCGGCGCCATCCATGAGCGTCTCCAATTTGTCCGCGTCCGTCACAGAGCCTTCCACGACCGTGATCTTCTCCAAGTCCAAGTCCTCGCTCTGACCTCCGAGGTCCGCGAGGAGCGGAGCCAGCTTGTCTGGAGACCTAGCCAGCACCCGCACCTCGAGCTCGCGCTCGATGGCGCCCTTGAGGGCCCATCGACCGGTCTTGCCGGTGGCGCCAACGATGGCCACGACTGGCATGAGCGACACAGCGGCGCAAATCCAGTATGAGCCCGACCCAGGTCGTAGTGTTCTTGCTCCCAGCGCTTCTTGCTCCCAGCGCTTGCGCTTCGGCGGTGAGTGGTGCACTAGGGATCCCCGACCCTCCGGGACATACGATGCGTTCACCCACCCACCCCCACCCACCCACCCACCCACCCACGATCTGGGGCCTACGAAGCGTTTACCAGACCCACTTTTTCAAGAACGGATGTCTGGTTTCATAGGTACCCCCGTCCCGGCGGTCCCGCAGCTCGCGCGCATCTCCCTCTTAACCCACCTCTAACATCACAATAGGGGATCCCTACATGTAACCTCCGAGAAACCCATCGGGTCGCTCCTCATCGCAAACCCTGTCAGCACTCCTCCTCCGGGAATGTACGTAAGAGCAAAACAAAAACAACAAAACACGGAGCGCCGCCGCAGCGCCCTCCGCCTCCTCCACCACCTCCACCACCGCATCGACACCACCACCGAGATGCTCTGCGTCGAGAGCGACAGTGTTGGCTTCATGCAGTGAAGCGTAACCGTAAGCGTGCTGGACCGACTGCTCGTCCGTCGGCAGTCGCTGCCGGCCGGCTGCGCCGACGCCGTTGACGACGCTGGTGGTGGAGACGATGTGGAAGGGCGCCACGCATGATCAGCTCACGGAGAAGGAGGCCCAGGCAGCCAAAAGCCAAGCCCTTCTCACCGAGCTGCAAAATGCGAGCCCCGAGAGAATCAAGGACTTGATGCCTCGTAGCTTGCTGTCTGCGCTCCAGACCCCCTGGAGCCAGCATGACGACATTCGTGAGGCGGCGTCGAGGTGCATCACCGAGGCCTACACCGGCGACCCTGGCGCGCCGCAGCTCGATGCTGTGTTTCTCGCCACTGCGATCGCCAAGATCAAGAAGGCGATAACTCAGGGCAAGGCAGTCGTTGACACTCACGATGCACCTAACACCAAATCGGGCGCGGCGCAGAGGTGGGGGGAGGTCGAAATGGGCGACCTGGCTGACACGATGCTGAATACCCAGTTCAAGACCGATCTCGGCTCGAGGCAGGAGAAGATCCTGACGGCGCTGTTGGGCAGGGTACCCCGCGGCTCGACTAGCACATTTCTTGTTGAAAACCGAAACTGCTCACACGCGGCCATGTAGGTCGGACGGCAGCAGATTTGGGCCGGACGCCGGACGTCGGACGACTTTTTCGTCCGACCGTCCGACTGGCTTTATGTCCGTCCGGCGAGTCACATATGGAAAACTGTGGAAAACCGAATGGCAGTACCGGCTCTAAGCTAAAAGTACACTGAAAAACAGCACCGTTTCTTCCGCTTTTCGACATCCGACGGCGGCGAGACCAAGAGCCTTCGGCGAACCGACCGGCGGCGACAGAGTCCTCTATTCGGACCGGCTTAGCTCGCAGTCGCCGTAATCACCGCACACCACGCTCGGTGGCGCATATATGCGCCTCCCGCTGAGCCGCCTCGGCGCCGTCCAGCGGGCGACGATCGTGAGCATGGCCGCCTCGGCGCTGCCAGTGCAGCGTCTACCTTACCGAGGCGTGCTCCTCGACTGGACGCAGGCCGGTGCGCCGCCTCCCTCCGAGTTTGAGGCGCGCATTGCGCCGAGCCTCGAGCGGTGGACGGCGGAGGGCGTCAAGTCGTGCATGTTCAAGCTACCAATCGAGAACGCCGGCCTCGCGAGCGTGGCGGCGCAGCACGGCTTCGTCTTCCACCACGTGCCTCTCGACGCGGACGGGCGCCACGTCGTGCTTAAACGCTGGCTGCAGCCGCGGCTCACCGACAAGGTTCCGCCCTTCGCGACGCACCAGGTCGGCATCGCGGGCCTCTGCATCAGCGACACGGGAAAGCTGCTCGTGGTGCGGGAGTGGCGGGACGACGCCGAGAGCGGCACGCGGAGCCCTTCGGCGCAGTGGAAGCTGCCCGGCGGCCTCCTCGACCCGGGCGAGTCCTTTGGCGACGCATCGGTGCGAGAGACGCTCGAGGAGACGGGCGTGCGGACCCGCTTCAGGTCGCTGCTCTGCTTCTGGCACCGGCACGGCCTGACTTGGGGCAAGAGTGACCTCTACTACGTGGCGCGGCTGGAGCCGGAGGGAGGCGGAGAGCCGGAGATTAACCTCGACCCGGAGGAGATCAGCGACTGCCGCTGGATGAGCGTGTCCGAGTTCCTCTCGACTCAGGACCACCCGCTCATCACAGCGGTGCTCAGGCGCTCGTACGGGATCGAGGCGACCGAGGAGGCTGCGGCGGCGGCGAGCTTGGCGGAGCAGCCAACGCCGCTGGTGGAGCTGCTCGAGGCGGGCGTGCAGTGGCCAGGGCGAGAGCCGTACCCGACCTACTTTGCGAGCTCCTGCGATGCGGCGGCGGCCGAGGGTGTTTCTCGGTAACACAAATCTCGACGAGTAGCAAATAGGAAAGATGGAAGAAAACTCAGGCCGACGGCCACACACGACACACAGCGGACTACGAACTAGGCAGAATACTGACAGGTGACAGAGGAGACGGACTTTCCCGGGGCGCGGGGGCGGGGCGCGGGGGCGAAGAAATAGGCGAAAGTGTGGAGAGTTAGGATGGGGTGGGGCACAAAATCTCTCGGCTCTCCTTCTTGTTTGGGTGGGGGGTTCCCTAAAGCGGAGAACAGGGAGGGATTTTAAAGAGAGACCGAAAAAGAAATCAGAACTCGCATCACCGGCTGCGCATCACACCGCCGCTGCCGACTCCACACTCCGCCGCCCGCGGCGCCCAAGAAGCGGCGAAAGACGAAGACGAAGGGGGCCAAGGCAACCACGCACGTTCGACGCTTACCACCTTGCCCGCGCAAATGCGCTCGCGGCTCCTCCCGCTGTTGCTCCTGCTCGCCGTGACTCGCGGCTCCTCGGCTCTCTCCGCTCTGCCGCCGCTCGAGCGTCGTCGCGCGGACCTCGCCTCCATCAGTCTCGAGTGGCTCGTGCAGCGGCCGGCGGGCAGCGAGCCGCCGAGCTCGCCTCCGGTGCTATTTGTGCATGGCAGCTTTCACGGCGCGTGGTGCTGGGAGCGCTGGATGGGCCGCTTCGCCGCCTCGCTTGGCTGCGAGTGCCACGCCGTCTCGCTGCGCGGCACCAGCGGCTCTCCCACCGGCAACTGCCGCCAGCGCTCCGTCAAGATTGAGGAGCACGTGTCTGACCTCGCCGCCTTTGTCGACGGCCCTCTCGCCGCGTCGTCGGCCGGCCCGCCCGTCCTGGTCGGCCACTCCTTTGGCGGCGCCTCGGTCCTCAAGTACCTCGAGGCTGGCCACGCCGCCTCGGCCGCCGTCCTGCTCTGCTCTGTCCCGCCGTCGGGCAACAGTGCGATGACGCTGCGCTTCGTCCGCCGCTCGCCGGCGGCCGCGTGGCTCCTCGTGCGCGGCTTCGCCTTCAAGGAGGCTGCGCGCTCCTCCTCGGTGGCGAGGCGGCTCTTCTTCGACGACGAGATGGGCGAGGAGGAGGTGGAGGCGCACGTGGCCCGCTTCGCCGCCGACTCGAGGTGCGGCATCAACCTCTCCGACTTCAACAAGGCGCTGCCGTCGCGCCAGGCGGACGCGGTCGGCCGGGCAACGTGGCTCGCCACGGCCCCGCCTGCGCTGGTGATCGGCGCCGAGGCGGACGGGGTGGTGGACGCGGAGGGCGTGGAGGAGACGGCGGCCTTCCTGGGCACGAGGGCGCGCGTGCTGCGAGGCGCGCCGCACGATATCATGCTGGCGGCCGGGTGGGAGGCGGCCGCCGACGAGGTGGTGCAGTGGGTGGACGGCCAAGAACTTGCCAGAAGCTCGCCGCATGCGGCAAGAGGATAGAGAGCTCTATGCGCTGACCGAAGTGCGAAGACCGATATGCAGGTTGGCGCACAAATAAATAAATAAAAACGGACACCTCTACTGTGAGATATGTATGGATCTCTTTGTGCAGGGTTCTTTGTGGGTGTGGTCGGCCACTAGCCGGGGTCGTCCTCCCGGTGGGGGACTAGCACTAGCCGTCTTCCACATGGTCCCTCGGGGGGTCCCTGCTGCTCCTAATCTCTTCGTACATCCTCCTGCTGATATCTCCGCAAAGTCCTGCTCCCTCCCTCGTCTCGCCCTGCGCGTCTGCTCCGCCTCACCGTCTTCTGCCCTGCGCCGTCTGGCGACGGGTCCTCCATAGTCGGTTGAGGTCGCCGCCCTCCTCGTGCCTCTTCCCAACGTTCCCTCGGCGGCCGATGCCGTCTGCTCCGGCTCCCCAGTCCCCGGGTCTGCCCTGCTCTCGTCTGCGCTAGTTTCTGCTTCGTCCTCACCGGCGTCTCTCCTCTTCCTCCTCCCCTTCTTGTATGCTCGCACGCTCCACGGAGCATGCTTTTTTATTACTGTATACTGAAGCTGAAATCGCATTCGCCAGCTTAGTCCATTGTGCATATTGAGTCGCGTATCGCTATCGCCTAAGGCCTATCGGAGGACGGAGGGCGAGGACCCCGAGCGGGCCGAGGACCGAGGAGCGAGGTCCCCGCGCCTCGCGTGTCGCGAGAGGACCCGCGTTTCGACCGAGTCCGAGAGGTCTCGACACTCGGGGCCGCCGCGGGGTGGTGTGCCCCCCTATTTGCCCCCTGATGCATGCACATGCACTGTATCCTAGTGGAGCAATAGGGAATAGGGGTCCCGTACCATGCGGAATCGACCCTATCAAGTGCTCAAGTGCTCAAGTGGGGCACTCTCTCTCTAAGGTACTCTCCACCACCCTCGCTCGCCCAGGGATCTACAATGCTGTCTTAAGGTCCGACCTGTGGGCTCTGCCTGCGCTCGGCACCGGGCACCGCCTCGGTATACAAAATGCGCCTGCGGGCGGACCCTTACAGATCACAGATCACAGATCACTAACATGATGGTTGTGGGATCCATTGTGCGGGGCAACGTCCGTCCGCCCTGTCTCCTGACGCATCAGCGCGTGAGGAATGCAGCACTTTGACGGGCGAATCCCCGAGAGCGCGAGCCCCCCCGGGCCAATATACCGACGCGCAGACCTAGCTCGGTACCCTTCTGCTATCCTGCACGGCGGCCGCGCCAAGGGGGCGCGCAGTCGCGGCGAGTCGGAAAATAACCGGGC